CGGAAGTAGACGTTTCTCAGCCCACGTTTTTTCCATGCGGGCCCGCCAATCGAGTTGTTTATCAATCACACGACTTACGATGTTCGGTCCATTAATAATATTTATAACATTGTTCAGCCCAGTAATGGACGATAACGGTTATCTGCGGCGGTACACTCGACCTTTGATGATGTTAATATAATAATATTATTCACACAACAGGTATTATTTTAGTTCGTCTAGACGAATTACGCGTTTTGAATTAGATAAATGTACGTTTCTTGACTTATAAATAATATTCTATAGCTCAGCTCCACTTTACTACAAATGAAGACCCGAGTGTAAAAAAAGGGGACAACTCCATTGTTTTTTTTTCAGGAAAGACCGAAAACTATTTATCATAAGTTTAATTATAGTAAAAGTTTCAACATTTACGACACGAGTTTTCAGTTTTAAATTTAAATCAACGTCTTTTTCATTTAATTTAGAAAAAAATATATCGATAATACTTTAATAATTAATAAATGTAACTAACGGAAACGTTGTACAGCAATTTTTATAATATAATAAAAGTAGGGAATATAAAAAAAAAATTCAACATTTCATTAATACTTATAATTTGATGATAAGTTTGACCTTAAAATTAAACGCGATAAGCCGAAAATAATAATTACTGTCATGTACCCTAAAATCGTTCAATTACACAAAGGGTACTTGTTCGGTTATATTACCAATTTTTTTAGCAGAATGTAACGTAAAACCGTATTTTTGACGTTTGGACGGTCAAACTCAACTACTTTTTTCACTAAGCAGTATTTACTACTACTTAATATAATTTAATTAATAAAAAAAACATTTAATTTGCCCTTACTGCGGTTAACGATTTGAATAAGTCCATGTTTTTTATTAATCGGCGGCTTTTGAGAGCGCATATTTACACTTAAATATATATATATATATATATATATGCCAGCATGGATGTCATATGAAACTTGCACAGAGGGGAGAAATACAAAATTAATTATATAATTAAATTATAGTCGAATAGATATGACCCCGGCAGCGAACGTTTAAAAAAATGACGGAGCCCAAGGTAATTTTACTAATGTATTTTAGTCAACAATGTACAGCGGAAAACAAACAAATAAGTAAATCATGTTACTTTGTCTCTATGAACTCGACACGCCATTGCCTTTATGTGACATACGATTATATATAATACATGATAATTGCTCGGGTAAAACTATAATTGATAAAATTCAGTCCAGAAAATCATTTTTCAGGTACTGCACATGGATATAATTGGCAAGTGGATATTTTTTTGAGAGAAAAGTTCTCTATTACTTTTGAGTATCCAACTTGTAAAATTGTACAATATATTATATTTATATAATATATTATATTATATAAATACAATATATATATTGTACAATATATCTATTTTTCGCCGAAAGATAAATCGTCAAAAAGATAAAAATAGGACAAAATAATGAACAAATTATTGTGGTACTTATTTCACGGTAATTAAACTTAACGATAACTTTTTAAAGTAACAACAAAACTCGCGAGAAAAAAATACTTGTTTCGGAATGTCCGTACAGGAATAACGACGTTAAACTTTTGACCTGTTCCCATCAACCATACGGAAAGTTGTGCAGTAAATACAGCTGTCGGTAACTACACGTGTGGATAGATGAAGTTATCTATGCGACAGACTGTTTTTATTATTCGCGCATAACCCTCGGGCAAATAAAATATAACAATGAAACAGACATAAAAAAAGAACGATGTAACTTTTTTCTAATCAAATATTTGCACACGGCTTAAATTATTCGTGTTGCAGACCTCTGGCGCTGCGAGTCATAAGCACCTCAATACAACATTAGTGTGCCATATTATAAATACATGCGACGTACGTACACAACTACACTCGGCGGCCTCCACGCGTCAAGGTATTTGGTCGTGTTTGGGTCGTTGTACTCGGCGAATTGGAAGCGCGTGCGTCCCATTAACATTCACCTCGCAATTCTCATGGGTACATATTGTCGTGGCCTCAGGTAACGCTCTCTGCCAGACCGCCGGGCGGCGACACGCCGTGCCAATCTCGGACCGACACCTCCTGGCCTCTGGAACAATGTAGTGTGCCACGGCTTCTCGTCCTCCTGCCGCCACCTTTGAAAAAATAAAAGATAGAAAACACCGAGTTCTTTTGTCGTCCACAGCGTATCATTGTTCTTACGGGCCGTAATAACTATTATTGTGACAAAGTCAACAACCTGCGGTTACTCGGTTGTTTTCGAAAGCGCAACAGCGACATTTACCGAGACAAAACTGCAACGAAAAAAAAGACAAATCTGTGCCATAAAAACAATTGTTATTGCAGTAGACAATTGATGTGTTATCCGATACGACGTGTCATAGTTTTGCGGTCATTTTTTACGGACTAGACGTTTCCCTGACAATTCATGTTTAATTATGGCACACTACAAATGAGTCATGCGAAATGAACGGTTTTTGTTCGTCAGCCGACATATGGTCGTCAATCATTTTTGTTTTTTTTTTTTTTAACCGTTTAATTATACTTCCATGATAGTGTTGGTTACGGACGAGAACCGAACTTTTGAAAAACGAGTCTCTTGGCGATATACGACCCGGTTGTTTCTCGCACGTGAAAAGTTCTCCGAGTACGTCGGGACCGTGTGGGAGACGTGTCTATGTATGTCAGTTACCGCACGGCACCCGTAAGACGGTGTGCACTGTCAAAGTAGAAACGTACACAGCGTCGAATACATTAAAACTATTTTATTATTATTATTATTATTATTGTCTTTTACTAGTCTACCGTGTCCTACGCCAAGGTCGTTGTCGCAGCGCGTCTAGACGATTTCTCAGTCGTCTATGAATTTATTTATTTTTTCTCTACGGGCGCACAACATATTTCGGACAACTGCTCTATTATGTCAGCCGCGTACAATTCAAACGAAAACCGTGTCTCTAGCGGTTAATACTTAATTCGGCCGCAAAAGTGTACTGACTGTGTGCACTCTTTTGCTCGCCGTACCCTCAAAATTCGCGTGTGCGAATAGTCAACGTTCGCCGTCGATAATTAAATCTGTGCTGAGATCTAAAAATAATCATGCGGACGTTGCACGAAAGCGCACGAGAGAAAAAAAAATCACCCTGTCAAGGTTGCGGTAATGGCCACTGCCAACGACGCGGCGTATAAATGCGTTTTCCTGGTTTTTTGGCTAAATTCGGGAAAAAATCGCGGTCATTTCGTCACCTTGATCGTCTGCTTTTCAACCAGTGCTTGCGAAACGAACTCTGTTGAAATTCTTCCACGGCAGCCAAAAAAAGACACAATAACAAAATAACGAACAAACGGTTTTAAACTCCGATAGTCACACGCGGCATTAATATGCAACAATGACATTCGTCTCGAGGCAAACGACGCCACGTACACCCACACAGTGAGTACACGACCACTTGGCACCCGTTCAGAAAATGTATTTCATGTCAAATTTCCCTGTACAAATATCGATTGTTTCTATCCACACCTCGACACGGACTGTGCTGATCAGACGTCCCTTACGGAATGCACGGCAAACATTTTCGGGTGTTATTTAACACGTGCGGGTAGGTAATTAACGGCCGACGTGGGTGTTCAATGGAGAACGCCTTCCGTTGCTAATTAATTTGGTGAGATTATTTTTGTCATTAATTCAGCCAAAATAAAGCAATTTGTACACCGTTTAAATATACTCCCACAATTATTCATTCCGATCACGAAGCCAAACACTATACAAATTGGCTTTTTTTTTTTTTGACATACAATCTGTTCCAGTACACAAAGTAATTTAATTAAAATAGAATAAAATTTACATAGTACGCGGACCCTGAATTAAGTAAGCCACTGAAGGAACACATCAATTTAAACCGCCGCAGCCCGTACAAGTTTAGACATGGGGAAATGTCAGTGTCTAGAGCTGTCTGTATAAGCCGGTTCTAGATAGATGGTTGCGAAAGTTTAGCCGGGTTTTTTGTTTTAATATATTTGCATATTTTAAGTCGATTACGGCGACAGTTGCTACACGTCTTTTCACCGAAATTTCAAGACATATTCAAAGTTAACTAATTATTGAAATACATATTTTTCAACGGGAAATTTCGCACGATTTGAACCGACGAAACTTTTGTTAAAAACACGAATGTTTCATAAAAAATAACGCACACTGTCGAAATGTACATGCATCTGCCAAAAGTACTCGAGAATCTCATTTTAAATACAACAATAAATGAAATTTCTGTATTGTTTTTGTTCAGTTATAAGAATGTGCGAGGAACAAAAACGATATTATTCAAAATAAATACACAGTTCAACGTCCAAACAGGACTAAAAATTATACATTGTGTTAATTGGCGCGAGGAAAAAATGATCCCTTTGGAAATATCTTGATGTGCGTTTAAAACAAATTCATAACTCTCTTAGAAGACATGAAATCTATATTTGCGTACTCTCGAGTCAATTGACTGTTTCTGTAGCTGTATACAGCTATTAATAATATATAATTATTCAACATAATTGTACTTTATTTAGTAGATCACAACCAGTACGCTAGTTTTTGAGGGATTCCCGTGCCAGCAGGCAGGAGGTTCAAATGCGATCGATTTTCCCGGTAAAAAATGATTACGCAGTGATGACACAATTGTTTTTAATTTGGTTGGGATAATAAGCATTTTTCTTATGTATATTACCCCAAGAACTACGCCACTGCTATGTACTTTGGCATATGCTTCGAGTTGCGCCGGCACTGATCATAACTTAAATTGACGTTAAATTTTGAAATGAGTCACGTCGGGAACGCGTAATTTTTTTATCAGTTTTTTTTTTCATTGTACGGCATATGCCGATGACATACATATTGCGCGACGTCTAGACGAATAAAAAGTGAGGGACAACAGAGACGCGATAGCGTATAATATGTTACGAGTTTAGTTTCAATAAAAATGGTGACACTTACGAGACTGTGCTTGATTGTCGACCCGGTTGTTGCCGGTAGCAGCAGTTGTTTGGTTGATGACAGGTAACGGAGTCTGTTGGTGACGGTGACGAGGCGGTGGAGGAGACGACAGTGGACGTAGCGAGTTGGTCGCGTTAGCTACTGCGACGACAACGGCCGCGACCACGTCTTCGCGGACAACTCCATGTCCGGCGGCCACAGTGTGTTGGACGAGGCCGACGGTTGCGTTAACTTCGGTTAACGCGGCCACACGGGAGCGCATGAGTGACAGCGACGTGATCACGGCGGCCACACGACAGATCGCCGGCAAGTAACCACCGCAGCCACAGTCGGTGGCCGTGGTTGTACTTGCAGTGTCGGTCGCGACGACGTACAACGACCAACGAAAAATATTGCCGCCGCCGCCGGTGAGGTGGTGATAAAAGTTATTACTATTATGATTGATCTCCTTGTGAACGCTGTTGAATTTGATAGTTTGGTAGACGTCTTCACCGTAGATGAACAAGTAAATGCCACTTAGGCGCATCGATTAGCCGCACTCGGCGGCTCGACCGTACTTTTTTCGAACTCTTATCATTATGCCGCCAACAACTGCAAAATAGAATACAATTTATTTATTTTTTACACTTTGTGTTGCACAAATAAAATATGTTGCTGTTTATTTATGTCAAAGTATTACTGTAATGCGCTTAAAAACGAATATTTTGTAACGGATACATGTAAATTTGTACTTATGACTTTTATTGTGTAGAAACTGCTCGTGTAAAGAGCAATACTGAAAAACTGATGGTAATAATATCTCATATTATTTAGACATTTGAAATTTTACAGTTAACAGTAATGTGACACGTATGAATATCTTACTTAGATTTTGCGTTTCAACAACAAATAACTGAATGCTATTTCTCTAGTCGATAAAACGCTAGTAATACTATTCTTTTTAACCCGAGAAAAAATGTCTGACGATAAAGCTTTTGTAATATTAAGATGAGGTCGTTAAAAACAAAAAAATTGGTACAGAAAATACTCAAGTAGAATAGTTACGAAAAGCGGAAATTTCGTGAAAGGATGAAATAAATTCAATGAAGATCACAAAGAATCTGTACCGATGACACATTTTTTTGTATAACACATCCGTTTAATATTAATTTATGTTGAAACTCGCTCAGAAAATTCATGCCTCGCTAAAACTCCACACGGGTAACAAAAAAGTGTTTTTCACTTGTTATTGTCAGTTTTATTGACGTTACACAAGCGCTATGAAAATCAGCTACAATATTGAGCGTTTCGAGATAATAATACACCAGTTCAATGAATTTCATATAAAAGGCTTTAACACACAATCAATGTTTTTCTAACTCTGATGATAATGAGTCCCCCGTGCTTTGCCTCTATGTAGGCGGAAGCCGTGGGTACATTGTAAATAGGAATCCTCCTAAACATTTATTGATAAACCCATATGAGTTCATGTGTTACGATTAATTTACTATTGTACAATTGATATGATATTAAACGTATCATAAATTATACGCTTGCCACGAGCGTACGATGATATTATTATTATTGATGTGTTTTAAAATAGCACTGCCGCCGAGGTTAGGTTATCGTAATACCAGACGGCAGACGACCTTCGATAAGAACTAGACAGCTGCGGTTAAACCGTCAGGCTTCCATGTCAAGATTACCACCGACCTAGTCACGACCTGGTTATAATTGTATTCAGACACCCCATATCCGCTCTGGAACGGTTCAAAAATATAACTTATAGAACCGAAATAGACATAAAAAACTGATAATCAACGTCTTGATTACCAAATTACTAGTACCTAAAATATGTTTGTAAAGGCAGTCAAAAATTGACACTGCAGTGTCTCTTTTGTTAAACATTTTTAACGCATTATACCTTTGAGGACACGTTTTCGTTATTAAACATTTTTAGTTACTGTCTATCAATTCAGTGTTAAGTAATAAATTATTCATATTTCTCAATGCACTATTTCCTCTCCACATTATCTTATTTTAAGGTACTCTAACGACTGTCAATTAAGTTTTTATTCTAAATGATCACGGTAACCAGTCAGTATCAGAAACTATACATATTGCATTATATAATTAAAAATTAGTTCCTTATACATAATGAAATTGAAATAACTGAACAAATATAAGACTTATAAATGTTCGCTGTTTATGTTGATAAAAAATTACATTTTTAAACTTGAAACTCATGACTAAAAAATATGTACACTTTATAACTCAAATAGAGTTATCAAATCGCCTAAAACATTACACAAAAGTATACAAATACGTAAACATTTTCATGGGCTTAATTTAAGAACACAGATATTGATAAATTCATCAAGTCATTTATTTACCATGTTTGTATGGCTCGTAAAATTAGCCTAGGTAAGAAATTTAACTAATTTACTAGCATCGCACACGTATATGATGATAACTATAAAGTACTATAGTAATACAATTATTTATAGTTATTTTAGAATCTGCAAAAAAATGTATTTTCTATATTTTTAAACTAAACTCCGAATATACCATTGCGATGAATAACACTACGGTCGTTTTATTAAAAAATATAATAACTGGCTTTACTAAAGTGATAAATTATAATCCTAAATAAAAATTTAAAGCATTAATAAATTTGACTGGATGGTTATGAAGTTGGTTATTTTGATAAAGGGTGTGTTTTTGTTTATAATAAGTTATGACTTTATAAGTGGTCACTTTAAACGCAGTCAATGTATCCGAATAATCTTCTACGCCCCTTTATTGTGGAAAATATTTGTTCAAGTGTATACATTAACTGACATATAACTCAATAGCAATTCGAAAAAAGTATGTAATTGGAAGGGGGGGGGCACTTTATTTACTAAAATGTAGGGAGTGTTTCTTATAATAGTGTTTCGTTTTATTTATTAGCGAATAATCAAAATGTTTAAATGCATAAAGTAATGAAATTCCAAACACTCTTCTCATCACGTTCTTTTCACGGCTCATTATTAATTAAAAGAATATGTGATATTGTTTACATTATTTTACAAAGGGTTGTTATAAACATAATTTCAAACAGAATAACTAAATAGCACAATCATATTCAGTCGATTGTTATTTATTCATTTAGCTTTGTAGAACGCATAAAATTTAATCGGATGTGCTTTACTCTTCTGTAATACACCTGTCATTTATTCATTTGTTTGTTTATTTACATAAATGAGTAAGCACGCGAGGAAATCAGTGTACTTAGTTTTTAATCATTCAATTGTTGTGTTATAATTTCACATAAATTATTCATTCTATTCGCAACAGTTTTTTGATTTATTAGATTAAATAGCTGACAATATATTTCAATATAATACATGATAAAATAGTAAACGGTTTGCTTAAAATTCTGAATTCCTTGACTTATTTTTAAATATTTTATAGTTGTGCAACTATTTAGATTACATTTTTTAGATAGGTGTTAAAATACGATGTTATTCTCAATATTCACTTATGTACCGCGTGCATTTAACGGTGTTTATAAAATTTATTGAGTAATAATGTTAAAATAACCACAGTATCGTTCGGAATTCAACATAGTTAAACAAAAATAATAACTTAGGACTGTGTTTAATTCAATGTAGCTAGTACTAAATAATTTATATACATAAATTTTAAGTCATAAATAACATACCGCGGAGTTGTGGCATCAGTTTTGTAAAATTTAAATAACAAATTCTTGATAAATACTTCGTAACAAATAAATCACAAAAAGCGTATGTATTTGTGCGTATTAAAATTAAACAGTTCCAACCAGTGGGCCATACACGTGCTTTCGAGTCTAACAAATTAAAAATTAATTATCTTTTCCTCCGATTTAAATTATAATTGGGTCTTATATGCGATCGAAACTCTGCCTGTGAATTATCTTTGGTGTAAAATCCTAAAAGGCGATGTTTGGTATATGCATATTTTATTATTCTATGCATTAGTTCCATACTAGTTTTGCCGCCAGCCGGTTCATTACACTGTTGCTTTGACCGCCCACATCACGTCATATTTTAATTGTGCGACTCTAACGTCCTCTCTTACCGGATTCTCCGCGCGTGTAGAATTAATTAAAAATAGATTAGAACGGGTTACTCTACGCAATATTGTTTTATGTAAAACAGAATAAAACCACCACACGTGCAAGTCGACCGGCACGTGGAGTGTTCCGTTGGCCACAGGGGAACTGCGAATAAGTTAATAACCGCAAAAAATTCTCTGATGTCAAGGACTAGTTAAAAAAGTCGTTTGCTGAAAAATTACGAGAAGAACCGAACCTAAAACAGTTCACGGTAGCCGCGTGCAGCGGGTCGATGATTTATGTCGTATCTATAATTCATAGAAGAAGGGCCAACAATATTCGACGGGTCAATAGTTTACACCAGAGACACGTGGCTCTAGAATCGCACAAATTTATTTGAGACAAAATAATGGAAAACTAATGATACCATAAATATTAAAACCGTTTCGAGTATAAATTTATCATCGGTGTACTTTCTAACATAGTCGTACCCTGTGGGCCAGTGGCAGCCAAATGGGAGCGGATTGGGGGGATTGATCGCCCTTTTTGACATATTTATATAATTTCATTATATATATTTTATATTTTGAAAACTTTATACATGATAATCCTAAAAATTTCAGAAATGTAATTTTAAGTCTTGGTTATGCGTTCAGCAGGGTACTATTATAAAATATTTGAAACACGATTGTTAAGAAGAATTGAATCCATAATATAGTCAAGTTAAACAATTGTGTAAGTTCATGATAACATTTTGATATAGTAATACGAATAAAAAAGCTCTGAGACATGGAGGCACAGCTCCCATGATGATTTTTTTCATAAATGTATTTCATCTGTTCCCATGGCAAAATCGTTTGACCGCTACTGTTGTGGGCAAAAACATCAGCGTGTATGTGGTTGGTATTTTCGTCTTAGAAAAAGTTCTCTCGTTAAAATTGTTGAACTTTTTTATTATTAGGACAATACGCTGCTGGAGGCTGTACACGACGTTGAAATCGACACGCCATTAAGAGAACGTCGACAATAAATGCGATAAAATTCAACTAAACATTTAGTTCGGTTTATATGAGACGGGCACAACAGTTAGACGATAACAACATTTTAGACTTCGAGTCGACTAATGTTCCATTTTTAATTTTTGTATGTACTAAATGCAATCATTTCCGTCAATTGCACAGAATTTCAATTTATCATTCAACTATACTTTGAAAGAAATATTAATTTTTTTATTAAGTGGAATTAATAAAAAAACACGAGACATTTGCCAATTATTTTACAATTCATACTTTTGATGAAAATAGTCATATATGAATGTACCCTTCATATCGTCTAGAGACATGAAAATAAAACAAAAATTTGACATCTTACAAATTTTTTTGACAGTCAAATATAATAGAAACAGGTATTTCATAAATTTTTGATTTGCAAACAATAAAAAAATATAAAAAAAAAAACAAGTTTGTTGGCTATAATAAAAATAATATTAAAGGTGTGAGTTTTACTTTATTTATTTGAGTAGATTTTTCTT